CGTGGCATGTGACACGTGGCATCTGTCACGTGGCACAAAGAGGGTTTAGGTTCCGCTTCGTGGTGTTATCCTATGGTAAATCACCATAGGATAAAGGGTCAAAACCACGTGCGCTACATTTGGTATCAGAGGAAGAGTCTCAGCGAGTACTATTCAATGAGATTGGGCAACTAGTCTCGTTGCATACGCAAAGATGAAAACGATGATCCGAGTGGGTACACGTTTTGGTGCAAAGACTTCGCAATGGTTCCTTGGGTATGGATATTGTTACCTTATTGTACCTTATGATGTGAGCTTGCGCTTGGGCTCATAGGATGGATTTGAGTTGTTCTGGTAGCATGAGTTTAAGCTTGAGCTCGTGAGTGAGGCACATTAGCAACTCGAGGTTACACTTTGAGTTGGCAGGATTAATATTTGCCTATCGATGGTTCCATGAGTTGTTCCATGTACCGTGGGTGAAAGTAAACTTTCCCTGAGTTTGCTATGAGTGGCAAATAGGCTGGTCCGTAGCTGTTTAGCACGACACTAGTGGATCCTTCCTAGGCATGTTTACAAGTGGATCAATCAAGACTATAGGGATTAGTCTATTGGTTCAAGTAGTCATGGCCGTGCTTTCTCATAAACTTTTCTTGGATTGAACTGAAGGCAGTGCAAAAGCAAGCTTGAGGTTTAGTCAAGATGAGGCCGGAAAGAGAGTCGTCAGGGACGAAGGATCAAATACGTAAATCATTTTCTCTTCTTGGAGAGATGATTTGCAATGAGGTGTTAACTCATTGCTTGTGTTCACATTATGCAATCAAGAGTCCCTACCTTGATGCATGTTGGAGATGGTAGTCTTACAATGGTGAGTTGTGGGATGGATAGCAGTAAAGCGCTAAACCATTTTGTCTAAGCTTGCTATTGGAAGACTTGGGTTGCAATGCTCGATTCTTTTCTAGGGAACCTTGCTATTGCTCCTTGAGTAGCTTGGTGTTGGATTAGTTTTGAGTTTGGTCGGAAAGAGAGTGGCATGAGCTTGTCCATGTTGTGAACAAAAGTTAGTGGTGTTGGGTGTTGTAAATCTCTATTGATAGGGTGTGGCATTTATGTTGCATTTTGTTGAATTAAGTTAGCACTTGATATTCACATAAACCTTTACAGTAGTGACATGGGCATTTCTCATAGTGTTGCTTGATTGATGATCAAGTCATTGTGATTTATATCATATCCACGTGATAATAAGCAATGTGTTTACGAAGTTGCTTGGGTAAATGATGATCAACCCCAAAGTGGTTGATAGTGAAGCTAGTCTACTTGTACGAAGTAGCATTGTAGTAGTTTTGACTAGATTCTCAATGGTGGTCCATTATACTAAGCTTAAGTTGGTACCTTGTTTCCTTGAATTTACCCATAAGGTGTTGGAAAAGGGTTATAGCATTCACTTGCTATGACTTGTCGGTTGATCCGTTAGCACTTGGAGTAGATTGTTGGATGGAGAAGATGTGTAATTGGGGCATTAACATCACTAGCACTTGTGTTAGTGGAGGTGGCATTGTTATTTCAAGTGATGAGGAAGTTTCCTTGGACCTTGATTTTCCATGTCATTTTTCTTGTTAGTGTTTTGGCTTCACATTAGATCTTGAAGGTCGTTGAAGAAGAGTGTTAGTGCAATGTGGATATCCAAAGATGTGGTCTTCGTGATCAAGCCTTGGATGTTCATTTTGCACTTTGCGGAAGTTCGATGTTGGTTAAATGGGCAAAGATGTTCGATGCTTAAGCATGCTATATGGGTCATGAGAATTGGTGTTGAGGTGAACCTGTGTGAAGTTGTTAGTAGGAGGAAGTTGGTTGAGTCTTGAAAGTTTGCATTCCTGGACTAAGAGTCATTCTTTCTCTAGGATGGAAATTTTCCACAAATTTTCTTAGACTTTTCCAATGGCTGATCTGTCGGTCACTTTGCTCGAAAACCAGTCCATTTTCGTAAACCAGTATAAACTAGTGAAGAGGTTGGAGTTGACTTTGGTTGGCTTGAACCTTAGTAAATAGTTTGTATGATGCGGCCTGAAAGGGATGCTAACTTTTGGGGCTAAGGCAATTGAGTTGGATAGAGTCTAGAGTTGATATAAAAAAGTGGCCGTTGCACTTTTCTCAGAAAGGTGACCCTTGTACCTTTCTTTTGTAGCGTGGTGCTTGGTGGTAGATTGCACCTTGCATTACGTTAGACTCTATGAGAGTAGTGAGCTCTCAGTGATCTTGACTTAGTCTTGGTAGCCCTGCACCTTGGCTGAGGATGGTGATGTCCAACTTAGTTGTTTGAGGTTGAGATGTTAGTACCCGTACTATAGCTTTGTCTATGAGGAGGTTGTGTACCGATATGAGTTCATCTCATGGTCTTCACTTTCGTTTCGGCTGAGTGTTGATCATGCATAGCTAGCCTCTTCAAGCGGTGGCCCGATC